ATCTGTTTTGAGAAGCAAGACTATTCATAATCTCTCTCTCTCTCTCATGGACTGTTTATCTGTAGGTATTTCTTTATGAGATTCTATAGGTTGAACTCACTGTATTAAGTACTTTTTTATTGAAAAAAAAAAAAAGAAACAGATGAATCAATGTTAACATCCTAAATTCACTTGACTTGCTTTATCTTAACACCTTCCTCTTGACTGTTAGCTAAACAGACTAGCTTCTCAACTTTAGCTGGAATAAGCGAAGGTGCCTAGAACATTTGCTGTGTTTGCCAGCAATTGTAACAACTTTTAAATATCTTCTTAAATCTAGCCTTTTCCTGATTGATCTGAATAAGGCCTTTGGCCCTTTCTTATAGGTTCAGCTCTAGCTTTGTTTGTTTGGATGCGGAGCTGGGGAGAAGAGATCAAATTTAGGTCTAGAAAGTACTTTTACCAGCCATGTCTTTAAACATTGCCCAACATAATACTGGAGTTTTGTGGCAGTGCCTCTGGAACCCCGTTAGGAGACTGAGGTGAATGGGAGGAAGGAAGGAGAGGAGACAGTAGGGAGGCTCTACTCCTGTTTCACAGGTCGGCTATTGGTTGAAGAAAGTTAGAGGTGGGGGTCCCATGGCTAATAACAAGATTGGAAGTGATTACAGTAATCAGAATATTTCTGAAAGTAAAACCAGGCTCTGATAGAGCTTCTGAGAGACTCAGAAACAGGGAAAGAAGTTCTATGAGTAAGGTGGGCAGTAGCATTTCTTTAAGAAAAATTAGGAGTTTGTTAAATAGTTAACTTGGCATATGCTCTAAAAGGCAGCTGACTGGTTTTCTTCTGACTCTTCCTTTTCTCTCTTTCACTTCTTACCTCAGAACCTTTTCTCTTCTCATTAGCACGTCCACCAGAGTTGGAGCTGGAGAGGAGAAAGGAAGTGTTCATACATGGCCTATTTGCATACTCACTTCACTGAGTTAATGCCAGGACAGCACATTCTGTCCAGTTCTATAGATAAGCCAGTTTCACCCCATCAGTAAGGTATTATTTTCTTTTTTAGCGTAGTACAGTTTATTGCTAAGCTTCTCAACTGTACATTACAAATAGCATCTGATTAAGAATGTTCTGGATGGGTTAATTAGTGTGGTGACTATTATTAAGCAAACTGCTTGTTAGTATTATGCCTATTTGATCTTGGTATTGATGTGAAGTAATTGACCATAGAGCTACATTTAGAAAAGCTGGAATAAAGTTTTTTGATTTCCATAATGGCAATAAATTGTTTATATTAAACATGTCTATGAAAATATGAGTTTCATGGCACAGAGAATCAGAGTAGACTCTCTGTGGAATGGTAGATGAGGATTGTTTTATTTCATTTTGTTCTGTTTTTTAGAAATAATAATACATTTGTCCAGCTGCTTCAAGATCAAGTCTGTTGAAATAAAGGAGTTAAAAATTATTATTTAAGCTTCCTAATGAACAATATATGAAAACTAAGGTGACTTAAATTTCCCTCACTTATAGGACATATTTCTTTTTAGATTTAGTTAGTTGCCTAAATACTTCTTTGGGTAACCATCACTATATATAAAGAGACTATTAAAAATATGAGAAGATATTATAAACAAAGAAAGCGTAACATATAACCACCTTCTTTCAAATACTAGATTATTATCTATATTATTTCTTGATATTTTGTCCAGTTCTATTATTGTTTCCCTAGCTATAGCATTTCCATAGGGAATTTATTCCATGAGCTAATAAATTATACCCGTCAGGGAGTTTTTCTTGAAATTCAGCTTAGATTTTCCCATTCTTAATTTCATCTCATTACTCCTAGTGATACCCCCTTGTAGCAGGCTAAATAATTATTCTCTTTCCTTGGAGACTCCTATTATATACCCTTCTAGTTGTCACTTAGCCAGGCTATTCATATTTAGCTCCTTTAATCTGTCCTCATAAATCAATTCTTCCATTGCCTTAATCATTATTATTGCTCTTCTACGAACTCTCTAATTTTCAAACATATACAGTTATCAGGTGACCCAGATGAAATCACCATTCGCACAGTGTTCTGTCCCCTCAGACTTGGTATCTTCCTTCCCAACACGATCTCTAACAAAGTAATGTATGTTTGCCGGTCAGATCAGCATAGGCTCATCTTGTCAAACTCCAGACAATCTAAACAGTGTTTTCCATGTGTCCCATTTGCATTCAGGTTTATTTTTACTTTTTCTACTTTATTATATTAGTAAGCTGAGTTTTGAGTTACTGTTCATATTTGTATTCTGCATCTTTCCATGTCCTTATTCACTACCACCTGTCAAGTCAGTCATCCACAACCTGTGTTAACACGGGACTCTGTTCACCCTTGAGAACATTTAAGAAACGTGTTGAATAAAAGCAGGTCCAGCATCTTGCCCACAGCTAAATTTCTCGTCAGTTACCAATTCCTGTTTTTTACAACCCTTTAACCAACCTCCCAACTCTTTTAATTTGCCATTTTGCTCACATGCTGGACAATGTAAATGGATTTTATGAGTAAGATGGGTCATGATACTGTTTTCTAAAATAAAGATATGTTGTTTTAATGCCCATTATTATTTTTTATTGTGAATCCTTCAGGCACTAAGTTTGTAATTCTGTTGCCTTTTTAAGCTTGCCTGGTATTCCTTATCTGACTTAAACAAAGCGGTTACTTTGCTTGCTTTATTGTTGTTTCGCACATATGTACAGATGTTCCTTCTCTTGCCATTTGTTCTGATTGTTTAGGAGATGTCGAAGACATCGTCATAGTCTTTTCTTTTCTTTTTTTTACTTTTTGTGGCATTCAATAGGAACTTTTTAATTGATTTTTAGGTCTTTAGAATCCCCTCAATATTTTGAATTTGTATCAGGAAGAAAGTTGATTAGTTCCCTTAAATATTTCAGACCTGTGAGATCCAAAACTATAATCTGCATAGGCCCAAATTTCTTTCCATTTTAATCAAGAATTAATTAATTTTATTAGGGCATCCCAAGGGGGTTAGCACCATTCTTTGTGTTTTTCATCTACTTAATTCTTGGAGGTAGGGGTGTCTTTATTATATTCAGGTGATTTTCCTCAAAAGACTTTGTGAAACAAGCACAGAAGCCCCCAAAATAAGCTTTTTAATTCTGAAATGAACGTAGCCTACTGCAATCAGACTTTGTTTCCAGCTGAGAGTGGAACCCACACTGTTCCTTAGTATTACTCATCAGCCCCTGCTCTCAGAAGTGGAGGACATCCACTCCCTCCTCCTCCTCTCACAGTGACTGTTTTTTGATCTCTCAACCCACTTCTTAAACTTCTTTCCCACCTCTACTCACCAAATAGATGGCCTATCCTAATGCTTTGGTGACATACCTTAGTTAGAGTCCACACCCGCCATCTGAAATTTTTTCAGCTTCCTTTTTCTCTCCTTCTTCCCTCAGTTTATAACAAAGCTAGGTTTAATTCTGTCTTATAAGGCCCTACTTTCCCCCTACACCAAGAAAGAATCCTGCTATTATCCCAGGTTATGTTGTTTGTCTGCTTCCATCTTGTAAGACTTTTCTGTTTTATCAGGATCCTGCCCGCTTCCCTAGCAGTTATCTCCAAGTGAACACCAAGCGGATACCCTGTGTACACATGCCCTATTAATGAAAATTCACCTTACCTTCACTGTTCTTCTCCTCTCTACTTCTCTTTCTCTTTTTCTGTCTCTCTCTCTCGCTTTTATGCACAGACCCTAACCTGCAGCCTGGCTTCTGCCTGCTTCCTCCATAGCAACTGCCCTCGGAGTAGCTATCTGCCATGTAACAAGACCAAAAGCCCTGTTGTTTCTGGTGCTGTAGCACCTCTGCAGTTTTTTACACCTACTTTTACACCTGTTTAAGGGTTCTTGATTTTTTTTTTTTACACATTCTTTTGGTGCTCTTAATTCAATAAGGTGATATTACTCTCAGATTCACTCTCTACTCTTCTAAATGTTCCTTATTGCCTTCCTCCATGGTTCTTCCTCACCTACCCCTTATATGCATGTGCTCTCCATTTCTTCACTTACTCAGCAATCCAGGGAGGGCCCCAGTCTGCCTCCCTAGACCTCAGATCCCAGGAACTGGCCCCAGATTCTTTGGACTGCATGTTATTCCTAAAGAGTTTGTTTTCTTTCGCACCCTTTTCCTTTGATCATATGATTCTCTCAGTCCTAAACTTTCCCCTCTCTGCCTTTCAGAATCCTTCAACTAAAACTATCTTTACGCCTTTACTGATCCCCAAGTCAGAATTAATCTCTAGTTCTCAGTTTTAAAAGTTAGAATGTCCATTCTTCATATACTGTGTTCTACTACAGGTTAGTGGGTTGTTCACATCTGTCTCCCACTCTGTCTTTACTAAGCACTCCTTGATTTCATTGTATGTAGAAGCTTCTATCAATAAGTAATAGATATCTAGCTCTATCTGACAAATCATTATGGGAAGATAGGGGAGAGATGACAATGGAAAAATATAAAATATGCTTCAAGAAATAGTAGCAAGGTGAATTTAATGAAAAGTGTGTACGGGTGCCCAGGAATACAGAACAATCATGTGAGCAGAAATGCCCAGTGTTAATCAAGGAAATTTAAAGCATGTTTACAGGTTAATGAAATAAGGCGTGAAAATAAACATGGAGTCATGTGGTCACTGGAAAATGCAAACCAGAACTCCAGAAAGATGAGTGAAGGAAGAGTGATAAATTATCACTCTACTCTTACTTTTCATAGTATATGCAGTACAGGTTTTATAGTCACAGATATTCTTTGGAAACTATTTAAAAACAATCTGGTCCAATTTCAGTCTTTCGAACTTTCTCTTGATGGCTGCTACTTTTTGCTCTTTTTCTAGAATTTTTGTTATAGCTCTATTCTTTCTCAGTTATATGCATCATTGTCATGTCCTTATAGAAAAGTAAAGGGTAAATTCTAAATAGTATTTGCAGTGAAAGAGTATTGCATTTCCTTTTTGTAACAGATTCATGCCCAAGCACAAAACAACCCATTTACAGAAGATGCTTGGCCTTAAAGGAAACGGCAGTGCCACTCCATCCATGGCCCTTCCTTTCCAACAGGAGCAGAGAAGTTCTGAGAATTTATTGAAAATTTTTGATTCAGAATCTGGACCTTGTGATGCTGCACAACAAGAAAACCTGGGCAGCTCATTAATGCAGGAGTCGTACTTCAAAACATGCAGCTCGTCAAATAATTCAAACTCTCATCATGGGAGAAATAAGGAAAATCCGTGTGACGTTTTGAATGGAGTTGATGATCAAAGAAGACCATTGCACATTGTCTGGCCTCACCGGTG